GCGCAGTTTCCTGATAGAAACACTAACAGACTCTCAGCTGTAACATCTGTTCAGAGTGATCTCAGTCCCACCAGCTACATCGAAGCTGCCCTCCTACAAGTTACCCAGCCGACATCACAAATGGGATTAAAATCATGTCTAATAGTCGGATATAACATAAACTATTTATACCTCTGGAGCTTGGCAGACTCCAGAAATTCGAACTCAGTACATCCAGAGGGGAGGAGAGACTGGGGCACCCGTGGTCTGGGGTGAGGTGCGCGTCAGACCGCTGAGTGGGGCACCGGTGGTGAGGTGAGGGGGATGGGGAGAGAGGCCCCCCAGGCCGCGCTGATAACAGCAGGTGTGTGCGTCCGGCAGCGGGGCGGGGCCTGCACCAGGCGTGCTCCATTTCCTGCCTCCCAAAGCCTCGTCACTTTGTAAAGGACACTCAGGTGAGGGGTGGAACAGCCCAGTTCCTCCTGGAACAGCCTCCGAGTTCTGTGACAAGTCTCTAGATTCTGTCAAACCGGTACCTCCTTAAACAAGAGTTGGGTTGAGGCGCTGCTCCTCGCCGTGACGGACTGCATGTGTGGACACGGGCCAGCACACATTGCGACGCAGACGGCTGACACCAAGTCCCTGTGCCAGCAAGACGCAGGCTCCTCCTGGGCGACCGTGTTCTCCAGGGCGGGTCCCACCAGTGCCCAGCACGGCCGGCCAGCCCTGCGCGAAAGGAGCGGGGACTCCCGATCCCGCCTGGCCTGGAAGCCGGGGGCAGCTGGGCAGGGGCTGTGGGGTTGGGGTGGTCGCGGCTCTCCCGGGAGGTGGAGGAGAGCTCTCATGGCTACCTCGCCACGCTCATCTTCGCAGCCACTTGAATTACGCTTTAAAATCCGAGCTTGAGATCCCTGAAAACCCATCACTTCCCTAGCAATTCCCCAGGAAAAGGCAGGCGAGCTGGCTGCACCGGTCGCAGGTGCTTCCCGGATTTGTGGTTCCCCGTCCGAAGTCTGAACTAGGAGATTATGTGGAGAGAGGGGGCTGCCCAGCCAGCCCGCCACCTGCTACTCAGGAAACAGACACCAGCGCAGCCCCGGGGCGCCTCCCAGCCCCAGCCCCTGCGCCCAGCCCTGGGCGGGAAGGCCGAGCACCAGCGGGCAGAGGCCGATCAGAGCAGTCAAATGATCTCAACTCGGGTGCGGCAGGCTCGGTCCGCAGCTGGGGAGGCTGGGAGGGACTCTCCGACGTCCAACCAGGAGCCCAGACCAGGCGGGCTGGAGTCTCGTGCCTCTGTGTGCCCTTGTGGGTCAGCGTGTTTCCTGACGGCCTCTGAGAAACTGGCTTCTTTACTTCTTTCACTAAAAACAGGCTGACCCCTAGAAAGTCCTCGTGACCTCCAGCAATCTCCTCTGCTTGACAGTGCGTCTGGCCCCGGTTAGGCCCTCTCGGGTGCGGGTGCCCTGGGGAGCCCAGCAGGGGCGACGTCAGCCTCCGCGGAAGGCCGGAGCCTCTGCCCTGGCGCCTGGCTCGCGGCGTCTGTCTCCCCCGGTCTCTCATCCCACACGGTTCGATTCGGTCCTTCTCCCCAGCACCTTGTCATTCTCTGTCTCCGCGTGCAGGGTCGCCCTTGGCCTTTTCTGCTTTCTGGCTAAAGTCCTCGTCTGATCAGTGTCTGCGTACGTGTGGGTCTCACCGTCCCGCCCCGCCACTCTGCTCTCGGCTTCCCTAGGTTTCCGTCTGTGTGTGTCTCTCCATCTCCCTGTCTCTGTCTCCCTCCCTCATCCCGCTCTCTCTCTTCCTCAGCGGCCCCCAGACCCCTCCTCTGTGTGTGCCCCTGCCTACCTCGGACCCTTCCACACAGATCTCTCTGTGTGTCTCTGTGTCTCTGCTTCCTGTCTCTTTGTCTCTGACTTTCTCTCTGCTTCTCCCCCCATTTTGCCCCTCAGAGCTTGGCTCCCTGTCATGTCAAATGAGAAAGTGAGCCCAGCCCGGGAGCCAAGGCCCTGGGACCGCAGCCAGGGCTGGGCAGAGGCGATTGTGCCGGGGAAAGGGTGCGGATGGCGCTTTCACGTCAGCAGGCGCCCAGAACCTTCGCACAGAGAGATGATCGACACACCGTTCAAAGACGGGAAGTTCGTGCGGAATCGGGGCTGAGTGTCCACACTCCCCTGCCCTGCACCCCTTCCCGCCTCTCCTCCCGGTGCTCTGTTCTGCCCAGAGCTGCAGGGTGGGCAGCGTGCGCCAGCACCCGGTGGCCGTGCTTCCTGGCTGGCTGTTCTTGTCGACACCAGGCCTGGAGTCCACAGGGGCCCTGAGCCCACCCCAGGACTGGCTGGGTCAGGCACCTCCAGGCAGAGCGACAGCCCCTCCGAGCCCCCCACCCACCCTCACCAGGGCGGTGGCTGCTTTGAAGATCCCTGGTGGTGGAATGTCTGCTTTTACCCTCCATGTCACCGGGGGTCTTCCTGCCCCATTCCCCCTCCAGTCTACAGGTGATTCTCCTCTCCCTGCAGACCCCCCACTCGTCAACCTGTCAGTGGAACCGCAGCCAGTGCTGGAGGACAACGTCGTCACGTTCCACTGTTCTGCAAAGGCCAACCCGGCTGTCACCCAGTACAGGTGAGAGTCACTGCGGGGCAGGCACGGCCTGGCCACCGGCCTCACCCCCACGCCCATCTCGCGGGATGTCACTTAGGGTCTGCAGCATGGCCACAGTGCTGCCTGGCTCACAGCGCGCCCACTGGCCTTCTCCCCGCACCGCACCCCTGCCCGCTGGCCCCCTCCGTGCGTGCGTGCGTCCCTCCTCATGCAGGGACAATGGGTCACTCCTGTCTGAACAGTCTGCTCGTCCCCCATTTCCGACGAGAGGGAGAGGCTCAGGAAGAAAGCTAAAACCACCAGGCGAACCAGCAAGACCGGAACCTGGATTCTGGTCTTGCGCTCGTGGAACCGTTTGCTTGGGTAGGGTGGGATTCCGGGGACAGTGGGCCTGTCTCTGGGCGCCTGGGGTCATACATGCCCGTGGCCCCGGGGTGTCCCTTGCTCACAACACTGATACAAGCATCGGCGCTTCTTACATGCTTGTCTCTGCCTTTCCGTGGAGCGTCTTGAAGGCGAGAACTGCAACGCAGTCACTCGCGGCTCTCAGCACGCAGCGCCGTGCACGGCGTAGACGAGCTGCTCCGTAATGTGTCTGACCGACCGAGTACACGCAGAGCTGCTCCCCCCGCCGGTGCACCCTCCCGCTCTAAATCCCAGGAGACTGAGTGATTTCAGAGGTGCGCAAGGGCAGACTCAAGAAACTCCCCTCCTTTCAGATGCACGTGGACCTGACCGCCTGCCCCCATCTCCCCCCCGCCAGGTGGGACGCGGGTGCCCAGGGTGTCAGCTCTGCCGTGGATCTGGGTTATTAAGTGCCAAGGATGCTAATGGCCCGGACTAGGAAACAAGCTGGCCAGGGAAGCGGAGAACAGGGAAGACCAGGCAGCGTGGCCCGGCGGGCAGGAGGAAAGGAAATGGGCCAGAGACTCGGGCTGGACATGAGGAGGTGCTCCCTGCGGCGCTAGTAATTAAGCAGCACTGGAACAGGCGCCAGGAGGGGCACAGTCTATATCCCTGGGGATATTTTAAAATAGGATGAAAACCCATCTGCCCTGTCCGATTTAACCGTTCACTGGACGAAAGGCAGAAGAAAGATTAGATGACCTCCAGGGTCCCTTCCAAGCCCAGGACATCAGGCTCCCTGGAGTCACGTGGCCCATTCAGGTCCAGGGAGCGCGTCTGGTTCGGCTGGGTCCGGCATCTATTCGGAAGTGACCAAAGATGCAGGAGAAAAGCCCAGCGAGGCGGCCTCTCTCGGGGCTTCCACCCCGCACCTGCCAGGCCTGGGCTTCTCTGTACAAGTGAGCCTCTCTCCTCTGCTCCCAGCTCTGTGCGTGTGGTCCCTGAACAGCAGGCACAACTGGCCCAGAAAACCCCTCTCGCGCCAGTTCCCCGGGGTAGCCTCTCACACCCACGGACCCCCCATTCACCCTCCCAGCTGCCCCAGAGACCAGGGCACACAACTTCCAACATCCACGGCCCCTCACTGCCAGGCCCCGGTCACCCGTGGACGTGGGGGCTGAGGGCTGCGCAGACAGCAGGGTGGCACCGCCCCGGACCTGCGGCCTCGGCCCCCAGGCCTGACTGCCCACCCCACACCCACCTCTGACCGGGACGGGCTAAGCAGACATCCCCGACTCCCAGGGTCGGCGACCTCAGGAAAGCAGGCCAGTGGTGAGGAGAGCAGGAGGCGTGAATCCGCGCGGGGAGGGCCTCGTGAAGCAACCCGGAAAAACGCTGGCAACTGCCCATCCGGGGGAAGGGAGGACGGCAGCTAACGGGACTGTTCTTAACGGCTTCTCTGTAATTCTGGAGTTTGTATTTTTCATGCAAAACGGTCAATACAGAAGCAGGCAGAGGACATGAGGGTTCCTAGGCTCGGGTGTCCTGTGTGATTCCTCCCTCTGCATCGCACCTGGAGCTCACGGCTCACAGCCAGCACCCCCGTGCGTGCCCAGGGCGGCCGGCAGGGCAGGGAGGGCCGGGCTCCCGGCAGGTGCCCGTTAGTTCTCATCGGCCACCTTCGCTCCTGGCCTTCTGACTGGCCAGGGCCCTGAAGGTGTGTCAGTGCGGGGCCAGTCTCCCTCCAGGACTCCGGAGATTCTCGGGGAGCCCTTCTGGCCCCCAGATTCACGCGGAGAGCCGGGCGGCCTGGGAAGGACGCAGGCCCACCCGCAGCTGCTCAGCCCCTTCACTCCGGCGAGCTCTCGTCTCGCAGCCGGACGCCGGCTCTAGACGCGACGTTAGGGTCCCAGAGGAAATGCTGTAAGCAAATCTCATCGCGTCGGTGCGTTGATTTTCCTGGCTGACTTTGACGAGATCACAGGAACCTGTTTCTTTACTTCCGTTCGTCTTGAGTGCGTCCCCCCTGCTCCCCCTGAGAGGCCGCAACCTCTGAGATTAGAGACGTGTCCTCTGCACCCCAGCACCCACCAGGGGATGTGGCTGGGCACGGGAGCTGCCCCTCAGCCACCCCGGGACCACACAGCACCAGGATCCCCGGGGCCGTTTCCTCGGAAGGTCTCTTGGTGGCCCCAGCAGACAGCAGGATGGGCGCCACCACCCGCCATGACACAGGGGGTATTTGAGGACAGCCTGTGACGTGCCGGGCCTCCTGATTCCCTGATATGAATAATGAATCCTCTTACACTTGTTCAGACCAAATTAGACATTGATTGGGACAGGCTCAGGCCGACTCCACTTTACAGGGACTGGGATCGGGGTGACAGCAACAGGGAAGCAGGGGAGGGGCTGGGGAGGGGAAGACGGGCAGGAGGACACAGAGCCAGGAGAGAGGAGAGGGCAGGGGTGGGACTGCTCTGTGGCCCCCGGCCCTGACCCCGTGGCCAGCTGTTTGGGCGCAGTGGTTTGGGTGTCCGCGTCTCTGGAAGGGACCCTCAGAGGGTTTTCTGGTGGGGGAGGGAGGGGATAGAGGAGGGGCAGGAAAGGACTGGCCGAGAGAGGCGTGAGCAGGGGCTGTCGGGGGTCCAGAGGCCCCTCCCCAGAAGGCCCGGCCTTGGGCACCTGAGGACCCAGCCCCACAGCCGTGCTGCCTGTGACCCTGGGAGAGGATGGTCGGAGAATCCCTCCTGCCATCCCCCCACCTCCATGGGAGGGGCGGGCCGGGGAGCAGCTGGGGGCCGTGGCTGCTCGGAGGACGGTTCCGACAGCACCGCTCTGCCGGGGCACAGACGGTGTCTCCCAGCTGGCCCGAGCCCGTGCTCTGGGCTCTCCCTCTCTGGCTTCCTCCCCACCGCCAGGTCTGGGAGGAGGGGCCCTTGGCACCTGGAGCACTGCGTCCCAGGCCTGCGGGACCCCAGCAGTCCTCCCGCTGACCTGGCCGAGCAGGCCAGGCTGGGCTTCCGCCCTCCATGACTCTCATGGGGATGGGCCCTGGAGGGAGAAGGGAGAAAGCCCCGTCTCCTCCAGGGACCCTGAAGAGGAAGCGAGCGGGACCTGCCACCAGAACAGCCCACTTGGGCCCAAGCCCACCCCAGCCCAGCCCAGCCAGCTCCCTGCCTGGGATCCCCCTGCTCCTTCAACGTGGCCCCTCACTTTGGCGGGGGGAAGGAATTGGGGCTGGACACAGGTCCCCAACTGTGTGCCTGGAACTGAATTCATCTGCTCAGGCAGGGGCCGGCCTGACTCTTAAGTCTGGTCATTGAATTAAAGTTAGAAATTGAAATGACTCATGAATAACTCATAATGGTTTGTGGGGAAGCTCCTTAAGCTCTCGGGGAGCTATGGTTTGCTGTGTTGTGAAGCTATAATTGTTATTATTAATCGTGTTCTTAATAATCACTCAATATTAATTCTCGATAACAACCCCACGGGGCCAGTCGAGGTGTTCGGCGCGATGCAGAGAAGCGGCCGTCGCTTGGGGCAGGCTGCCAGGCCGGGGCAGGCGCTGACGGAGGGAAGGGCGGCAGAGGAAGGAGAGCAAGGCGGGTGCAGGCAGGGCAGCAGGGAAGCCGTGGTCCCAGGGAGCGCGCTGCAAGGTAGTGCTTGGGGAGGCCGAGGGACCTCTCCAGTTCTGCAAAGACAAAAAACACCCCGAAACAGGCTTGAACTGCAGCGGGAGGAACCTGGTTAGGTTTGCGATTTCAGAAAGTGAGTGTTGTCTGCAAGGGGATTAAACCAGGGGAATCGGACAACTCTCCTCTCGGGGATCTGTAAGGAAAGCCCCACCTTCACACACATGCACAGACACATATATGTGTGCACACATGTGCACACACACACACCCCTGTGGGGCTCCAGCAGACTGCCAGGTCGCTGGTCCAACGCGGCGATCACACCCCAGGGCCAAAACCAAGCTGAGCCCAAGGCTGCTTAGTCTCCCCTCTGGTGTGATACAGCCTGGCCGGTGGAAGGACCGTCCTACCCGCCTCCCCAGACCAAACCACGGCTGATGGGGCCGCCACCTCTGCAGAGCAAAGCCAGGCTGGGAGGGCAGAGGCTGGGTGGGAATAAGAGCAAGTGCCGTCCCAGCAGGGAGGCTGAAAGGACTTCCAGGGGTGCGGGGGCTACATGAGGCGCCCACCCTGGGGGTGGGAGGAGTCAGGATAGAGAGCCGAGGGAGCCGGCCGAGTGGGAAGAGGGGCAGTCGGGACCACTTGCTGACACCTCTCCTCCCGACGCTGTCGGCACTTCTGCTCCATGGTGAGCAGATGGAGGCCCTAGGTCACACCTCTCCTATAGCATCTCGCCTGATCTGGAAACCAAGCTTCCTGGAGCCTCGTTTCTGCGTGTGTGTGTGTATCTGTGCACGTGTGTGCACGCGTGTGTGGGCATGTGCCATTTGACCCTGTCCTCTGGTCGCCCAGGACAGGGCCCATGATGCAGCCCAGAGCAGACTGGCCAGGCCGTCTGATGTCCTTGTTTCCTGTGGGATGGACGCGTCCGGCTCCCAGAGGGGTGGCCTTGCCGTGTGAGGTCCACACCAGCCCCTCGGGCTTCTGTTGCAGGTGGGCCAAGCGGGGCCAGATCATCAAGGAGGCATCTGGAGAAGTGTACAGGACCACCGTGGACTACACGTACTTCTCAGAGCCCGTCTCCTGCGAGGTGACCAATGCCCTGGGCAGCACCAACCTCAGCCGCACAGTTGACGTCTACTGTGAGTGCACGATTTGGGAGCCTCCTTGGGTGCACAGGCCCCAGGTGGTCTCTGCCTAGGGCTGGGGAAACCTGGGCTAGATTCACCACACACGACAGAACCTTCACGCTTCACAAGCACGTGATGCCTGGCACTTTACAAAACACATCCTCGTGTGCTGTCTCGTGTTTACTTTGATCCCTATAACGACCTAATGAGATGGTGTCTCAGCTCAGGCCGCTGTAACAAATTACCGTAGACTGGGTGGCTCAGACGACAGAAACAGAGCGCCAGCATGGGCGGTTCCGGTGAGGGCTCCCTTCCTGGCTTGCAGACAGCCGCCTCCTTGCTGTGTCCTCATGGAGCCAGGGGGAGGAAGCAAGCTCCCCGGTGCCTCTTCTTTCTCATAAGGCCACTCATCCCATCAGGAGGGCTCCACCCTCATGACCTAACCTCCTCCCAAAGGCCCCACCTCCTAATACCAGCCCACTGGCATTGAGGTTTCAGCATGTGAATTGGGGGCGGGGCACGAGCATGCAGTCCTAATAGGCCGGTAGTATTATTCCCGTACTCTGGACGAGGCGATGGAGACCTGAGGTCACACGGTGCGTAAGCGGCAGAGTGAGAGCCGAATCATCGCCCGTCCGCACACTACTCTGCTTCCCACTGGGGAGCCTCACAGACACGCCTCTTCCTCACGCGTGGCCTGGCGGGGACCCACGGCGGGCAGCCCAGTGCCGTGGTCTGGCTGGCTGGACACATTCAAAACAATAATCCTGAGTTCGTGCACTGCCCTTTACAGTTTTAAAAGCACTTTTACAAACCTTTTTTATCTGAACCTCCCACTCGCCCAACAGCCTCAACAGAAGGTGCATTTTTACACTAAGGGGCCATCTTGGTCTCTGGATGCCAGGTTTCAGGCTCCATTTGCTCCCTGAAAGGAGCACTCCGAGGCCCGCCTGGCCACAGCTCGGGGTCCCTGGGCCTGAAATCCCACCGCTGCACCCCTCTGGACCAAGGCTTGGTCTGCAGGAGGCTGGGGCTGTGCTGGCGGAAGGTGGAGGAGCCCCGTGGGGCTCCAGGACCAGGGCTGTCTGCTTCAACTGGGCTGAGGGGGAGGCGGAGCCTCTGGACTAGGAGGGCAGCCTGGGGGGGGGGGCAGCCCCGCCCTCCGTATCCCAGACCCCCCAGCCAGCTGGGCCCACAGCAGGGAGCTGGGCTGGTGCCGGGGAGGCTGAGGCCTGAGGAGGTGGGAACTGACTTGACGCATGAGGGTCTCAAGATTTCCGAGGCAGGAGGAAGGCCTCCCCCACACACATGGAGATGAGGACCTTCCCCAACCTTCCCAAGTCAGGTGGGACCAGGAGAGAGGGGAGGGAGGGGACAGCCCTGGCAGTAAATCCAGACAGAAACGGGGCCCCATTGCCTTTGCCAGGGCCTGTGCTCCTCCGACCTCGGTGGGCCTGGGAGAGGCTGAGCTCGGGGCAGAGGGCCCGGTCCTCTCTCCCGGTCCCACTCCGAGACCCCAGGCCCAGCCCGGGAAGAGGACCAAAATGTAAGGCCCTGGGCTGAAGCGGATTGAGCTGGCACAAGCCCCTGCTGTCCCCTTCGCGGGGTGGCAAGGGCCGGCATGGAGGGTCCCCGAGCTCCTGGCCCACTGGAGCCGTCTCCTCCTTCTCCCCATCGCAGTCGGGCCCCGGATGACCGCGGAGCCGCAATCCCTGCTCGTGGACCTGGGCTCCGACGCCGTCTTCAGCTGTGCCTGGATCGGCAACCCCTCCCTGACCATCGTGTGGATGAAGCGGGGCTCCGGGGTGGTGAGTCTGCGCCACGGCCCCGGGGCAGGGGCAGGGGGCGGGGAGCAAGGGGGAGCCCGCGCAGGCCCCTTCTCACGGTCAGACCGGGGGGTCGGCCGCCAGTGTAAGCGGAGTGAGGAGGACCCCAGAAAGCGGAGAGGGAGCCCCAGCGCCCACGTGTGCGCATCTCACCCTGAACACACTCGGCCGTTGAGAAAGGCAGGTGGTCACCAACACCCGGAAAGGCTTTTCACCCCCCCAGATGAAGCTGCCGTTTAACCTCGAGGTTAAGCTACTTTTTCTCCCTGCGTTCCTCCCTCAAAATGCACGTGTTCTTCAGTGCGCCTGAGAGTTTGCCGCGTGTCCTCCCTGTGAGGAGGAACAGGAAGGGCCTTGGGTAGAGACGCAGGGACAGGCAGGAGAGAACCGACCTCTGGGTAGTTGCCCCACGAGATGTCACCGTCCCCATATACAGACGAGGAACCTCAGCATCTGAGGAGACAAGTAACTGACCAGAGAGACACAGGTATCATCGCTGCAGCCAGGATTCAAACTCAGATCAAGCTAACGCCAAAGCCTGTTTTCTTTGCGTTACCCCAGGCTATATCCCAAAAAGACAGGGAAAAGGACTCAGAAAGCACAGGTCAGGGACCCTCAAAGAAGTCCAGCTGTAGGATAATTTCACCCACGGCCAGTCTGGGACAGAAGCCACCGCAGGTACAGGGAGGTGGGCACCAGCCCCCGGAGCAGGAAGCCTGGGAGTCCCCAGCCAGGGGTCCCCCTCCTGTCACACATGTTCCTCCCCACGCCCCCACCCCACAGGCTTCACCTGGGAGCCCCGCCTACAGCCGCACAGGGTCTCCTCTGTCCAGCCCGCAGGGCACCGTCTGCGTCAGGGAACTGCCTGCCCCTCCCCTGCCCGCCTCGGTTTCCCCGAGATGCTGGCGACTGCGGCCGTCACCCCAGGCCTGCCTCTTGGCGTCTGGTTCCCAGAGACAGAGGGAGCCCTCCCTCTACTCTCGGGCTCTGACCCTCCCGACTCTCCTAGGTCCTGAGCAACGAGAAGACCCTGACCCTTCAATCCGTCCGCCAGGAGGATGCCGGCAAGTACGTGTGCCGGGCCGTGGTGCCCCGCGTGGGAGCCGGCGAGCGAGAGGTGACCCTGACTGTCAATGGTAAGACCCCCTTGGGGGGGCCGAGGAGGGAGACAGCAGGGGGACCCCTTCTCTTGGCACCAGGCGTCGCCCCGAAGGGGCTGTCGCCGGTTCTGGGCCTTGGTATCACCTCCAACTAGGGGTCGACAGCAATTATGTCCACCTCTTGAGTCCCTGCCAGGTGAGGAGGGGCCTGGTGAGTTTTCTAGTCACCTCCCTCCTCTTTTGTTACCTTCGAAGGGGTCTCAGCCCTAAGAGTGGTAGTTGGTGAATTTTATCCTGGCCAGGAAAAACCTGTCAGAGGTCCCTGGGTGGCCAAACAGACCCCACGTCTGCCATGACCTTGGCCCGCGGGGAATTTAAAGGGGCATCTCTGCAGCTCCTGGTCAGCTCACTCTCCTTGCATTGGGGCCACTCAACCAGGGACCCGTCACCACCTCCATGAGATCAAGTGTCCGGGGGTCCCCTTAAGGGCAGGGGACGTGTCTTGCTATGCACAATAAAAGTAATTACAGCAGGAGAGTGTTTTCGTGGTGGGAGTTAACAGGTGGCTGTTACGTGAAACACTGGGGAGTGGTCAGACCAGGCCGGACGAGGGTGTAGACAGCCACGGGGAAGCTGGGACTCAGCTCAGGCCAGACTCAAGAAGGCCGTAGCACCAGGATGAAGATTCTGACATCCCTGCCATCCTAACAGGTGCTTGGGCCACGGTCAGAAACCAAAGCTGCTCGTTTGATTCCTCTGCCCTTTCCAAAGGTCTCCTCCCCACTCGACCTTTGTAGTGCCACAGCCCTTTGGGAGCTCCAGTTCCCAGCAAAGCCTGCCTCGGATCAAAGCCCCGAGGCTCTGAGCCCCTGCCGGAACTGAGCCACAGACCTGCGTCTGCAGGGCGCTGGGTCCTGGCGCCAGAGCAAGGCCCTGGGGTGGCGTGAGCTGAGTTCTTGAAATGAGCCCAGTGGGCCGCAGCTTCCTTCCTACCCAGGAAGCCACCCCTGACAGCCTCATCTACTCTCCCCCTTTGCTAGAAAACAAAACCCAGCTTGGTGCCTCCTCAGCCACCCGGCTCTGCTGGCCGCAGCAGCCGGCTGCCCCGCAACTATCTCCGCTCCTCTCCGCGCCCCAGCGTCGTGGCAGCCCCAGAGGGAGGGTGACCCTACCTGACCCCACAGCGTGCTCAGGCTACCTGTCCCGGGCAGAGCCCTGACTCAGGAGCCCTCCTGCCTTTCCTGTGTGTCCCCAGGATGCTACCCATAAATCGGCACTGCAGGGCTAAAAATAACAGCATCTGATCTCGCCTGCGTATATCCATGGCAACACAGGCTGCAGCCTTTTCCTGTCAGCGCCGGTGTCTGACACTCGGCTCAGCGCACGGCCCGGTGAAATCGGCCACCCTCCCCTGTGGCCAGCTGGGGGGACCTTCACAATCACACGTGCCCTCCAGGGACCCCAACCCTGAAGCTACTGAAGGAGCCTTGTGGGCTCTGGGGAAAAGGGGGGGCAGAAAGAGGAGAAGCTGACATCTGCTGTCACTGGAGACTTTCGGGCATTTCCAACGGAGATTGAAAGAGGCATCTGGAGGGGAGATGCCCCCTGGGGAACAGGCCAGGGGACGTTTCTCTTGGATGGGCACCACGGCCTGGGCCCTGGCACTGGCCCGCGGTTTAATCTGTGCTCTCCAGAGCCCATCTTCCATCGCCTCCTCCGCCCCCACCCTCCGGCAGGAGCTTCCCTGGGTTGCCAGGCAGAGAAAAGCTGAAGGGCTTGGAGGGAAGCTCGATTATTTCTCGGGGATTAGGGTCACATCACCCGGAGCCAGGGGGTGGATTAAGTGGCCCAGGGAGAAGAGCCTGCCAGGCCCTGCCAGGAAAGCGAACTGTCTGTCCCCAGCTGCAGGGAGGGTGAAGCCCAGCGGGCGGGGCCGGGCCTGGGCGGAAGGGAGCTGACGCCGTGAAAGCCAGACCAGGTTCTCAGTACAAGCAACCCCAGCCTGTGGACCACTGCTGGCCAGGGCAGCAGTGCCTTGGGAAGTAAACTGGCACAGACCGCTGCCGATTTGGCTCAAACTGGGTATCTGCAGGAAGCGGGCAGTAAATCAGGGACTTAATTCCTCGTTCCTGGGGAGTGAAGGGAAAAGGTTTTATGGAGTCATCACTCTTCCGCCCAGCAGCAAAGCAAAGCACCATCCAGGTTCCTAAAACATCACACCCTCATCTCCCTTGGAGCTCAGGGATGTGAGGGAGGAAGCGCTCGGCCCACTCTGAAAAGCATCTGAGGGCGGAGGGTCCCCCACACCTGCCTGGCCCAGCCCCAAGCCACTTGCCATCCTAAACTCAGTAGCAGTCACCTGAGTGTCTCCTGGTGCCTTTCTCCCCTTGGCTGGGAGCTACTCATAGAAATGCAAATCTGCCTTAATTAAGGGGGCTAATAAACAGCAATTATGTTTGCAGCAACTTCGTTTTGTTCCCAGCATGACTCTGCCTGGTCTACTGATCCGGTGCCGGGCTCCGCCCTCCTTCCTCCGCCACCTGCCATCCGAGCCCCACCCTCCGCCAGGGAGTGGCGGGGCGCGAGGGCCCCACCCCGCACCCAGCCCCGCCGGGCCGTTCGCCGAGCGCGTGGCTAACGCGGCTGCTCCCTCCCCGCCCTGCCCCCGCCCCGTGGGCGCTACGCGGGAAAGGCCTGGGCGGACCGCAGGCAGAACCGGCGGGCCCGCGGCACCGGTCCGCCCGCCCCCGGGGTCCACGAGACGGTGCGCTCCGTACCCCCCTCCCACGCGCGCGGCCCGGGCCCCACGGCGTCGGGGCTCCCGCCTGGGCCGTCCGGGCGGCACGTGAGGCAGGCGGGGCGCGGGGCTGTCGCGCGCCGTCCGCGACGTGCGGATCCGCCGCAGGCTCGGTCCGCGGGGCGGCAGCGCCCCCTGCTGGGCGCCTGGGGTGGCTGCGCGGCGGCGGGCGGAGCTCGGTCTTCCCGCCCCGCCCGCGCCGCGCCCGCCCCGCCCGCGCCGCCGCCCCTCGGGAAGCTTTCCCGGCCGCCGGAGAGCGTCGCTGCGCCCGCGTGCAGCCGGCTCGCGCGTCGCTCGGGCCCTCGCGCTGCCGCGGCCCCCCGCTGTGGCGGTCGCCTGAGTCCCGGGCTTCCGAAGCAGAGGCCCCACTCGTGACCCCGGCGGGGCTTACGCGACCCCGGAGGCCGCGTGGTCCCTGAGCGCCCGCCCGGCCGCGCCTCGCTCGCTCAAAATGCTCGCGCCGAGGGGCAGGCCGGGCCGCCCCCGCTCCGCGCGGCTGCCCGGCCTCACGAGCCGCTTCTCCCCGCAGGGCCGCCCATCATCTCCAGCACGCAGACGCAGCACGCCCTGCACGGCGAGAAGGGCCAGATCAAGTGCTTCATCCGCAGCACGCCGCCGCCCGACCGCATCGTGAGTGCGGGAGGGGAGTCGCGCCCGCGGCCCCGCCGTACCCGGAGCAGCGCGGGGGGCCGGGGAGCGAGGCCTCCCCGTCCTGTCTCAGCCCGGCCTCAGCGAGAGCGCGGCCGGCCGCCCGCACCTGCCCAGCGCTCCACGTGCCCGCGAAATGCGCCTCAGTCCCCCTCCCCTCCCCCACGCGCTTGTCCCCGCAGTGCCGCTAGGGCGACCGCAGAGTCACCTTCACTCCCCTCCCCAGGCGTTTGCATTTCCTAAAGGGGGGTCTTGCACCCAAATCCATCAGAAACCGGAGGTCTCGCAGGCATGGAAACAAAGGAAAGCGCGCATTTTATAGCGCTGCTTGGGGGGATATTATCGTTAGTAATTCCCGACGCCTGGGACATCCAGGGCCCGCCCTGCTGGACAGCTCCCCCTTTCACGGGACAGCAGGGCCGGGGAGCGGGCGGGGTGAGGCACCGAGCAGCTGGGAGCCCCGCGTGTGCGCCCAGGGCCGCGACAGCCAGGCCGTGCAGCCCGAACTGCTGTCGTGAACTAAGACACTAGAGTATTATTGTGGTCACGCCTTCTCGGGCATTTGGTTCATTCCCTGTGAAAGAGTCACACAAAAATTACAAGGATTCATCAATAAAACTAATACATCATATAAAATAATACATACATGAATAAAACTAATACACACATGATAAAACTAATACACTCACCTCACTCTTTAATTTTTTGAAAATTATAAATGTATCACATGCCATTGTAAAATATCCCAATGGCCAGGCATGGTGACTTGAGCCAGTAATCCCAGCACTTCAGGAGGCTGAAGTGAGAGGATCGTTTTGAGGCCAGGAGTTCCAGACCAGCCTGAGCAACATGGCGAGACCACAGCTCTACCAAAAATAGAAAAAATTAGCTGGGCCTGGTGGCATGTCCCTGTAGTCCCAGCTACTCAGGAAGCTGTGTTAGGAGGATCACTTGAGCCCAGGAGTTTGAGGTTGCAGAGAGCTATGACGAGGCCACTGCGCTCTAGCCTGGGTGACAGAGTGAGACCCTGTCTCAAAAAAAAAAAAATCCCATTCACTCTTGAGCATTTTCACACGATCTTTCACTTCATAAATATCTGATTCTAGGCCAGTGGAGCTCACTGGCTCTGGGGACACTTGGCAGTGTCTGGAGACATTTTTGGTTGTCACCGCTGGGGAAGTGGGTGCTACTGGCCCCTAGTGACACCAGGGATGCTGCTAACAGCCCGTGATGCTCGGGACAGCCCCTCCGAGACTGAGCTGGGCCAGGCTGGTGACAGCGTGGGGTGTGAGACACCCAGGCCCTGCAAGCACTGCCTGTTCCACCATGTTCCCACGAACACTGTGGACCAGGCTGTTCGTGGTGCTTAAACACACTGAGCTGGTACCATGTGCGTGGAACGAAAACAATTAAATAAACGAAGATAGATGAGGGTGATCACAAGTACAACTCTCACACTTACGTAAAAACAAACAAAGTCATCACTCTGGGCTGCTGTCCTGCCCAGGCAGCAGCACTGTCCCACGGAGCATCTCCGGGGACCCTGGGCGCAGGCGTGGCCCAGCCACACAAGGGCTCAGATCGCTGCCATCAGAGCTCCCTCTTTGCCTGGAAAAATGTTCCAAGTGTGGACGCGCACTGGGCCCCTTCTTGGGTGGCTGAGGTGGTCCCAACCTCTGGGTGTATGTGCACACGTGTACATGCATTTGCAGATTGTACATGTGTTGGGAGGGGTGTATATGTGTAGTGTGTTGTGTGTGTGATATGTGTCATGGTGTGTGTGTGCATGTACATGTTTATGGTGTGTGTACTTGTGTTGTGTGCATGCACGTGGTGTGTTGTGTGTGCATGTCATAGTGTGTGTACTCATGTTTGTAAGGTATGTGTACCTGTATGTACATATGTTGGTGATGCGTATGGTATGATATGACTGTATACGTCTGTCATGATGTGTGTTTGTTGTGTGTGCACATGTGTGCATGTATGCTTGTGATGTGTGTTAAATTATGCTGTGTGTGGTATGTGTACATGTGTCTGTGGTGTCTTGAGTATTGTGTGCACATTATGGTGTGTGTCATGTGTATACATGCCTGTATGCATGTTTGTGATATGTGGTATGCGATGTGCATGTGTTTTTGTATATATTTATATGTGTTATGGTGTGTTCACACGTGCATGCATTTGTGTGAGGTGCTATGGTGTGTGTGGTTGGTATGTGCATGTGTTGTGATGCATGTTTATGTTTGTTGTAGTGCATATACATGTGTGTATGCATGTTTGTGGTGTGTGCGTGCATACCTATGCATACATGTGTTGGCTATGTACATGGTGTGGTGTGTGTGTACACGTGTTGTGACGTGTATTTGTGTGTGTTGTGTGTGGCATGTGTATGTATGTTCGTGGTGTGTGGTGTATGTGTGCACGCACACATACCTGTGAGCACATGTTGGTGTGTGGCCGTGAGCATGAACTTGAGCCTGGCTACGTCCGTGTGGAGCAGGGAGGTGGCACCGTGGTCCTGCCCCCTCTGGAGGGGTCTCCTAATTCTGCTCCCCGCAGGCCTGGTCCTGGAAGGAGAACGTGCTGGAGTCGGGGACGTCGGGGCGCTACACGGTGGAGACCATCAGCACCGAGGAGGGCGTCATCTCCACCCTGACCATCAGCAACATCGTGCGAGCCGACTTCCAGACCATCTACAACTGCACCGCCTGGAACAGCTTCGGCTCTGACACTGAGATCATCCGGCTCAAGGAGCAAGGTGAGGGCCGCCGGGGCCTCCGGGGGACTGGCAAGGCCAGCAGGGCCCTCTCCTGGCCTAGCCGGCCCTGGGGGACAGAGCGCCTAGAGCGTGGCCCGGGCTTCAAGGTGGGTCGGGGCCGAGAACAAGTCACAGCGCTCTCCCCGGCTGGCAGCTGCCTTCCTCGGCCCGGCTCCCCTCGGAATAAAGGGCACGCACCCCCACCAGGAAACGGGAGGAAAACCACTCAGACTGGCGGCCTCCGAAGCATGTTTCAGGGAGAGGCGGCCACAGAACCAGCCAGGCCTGTTGCGGGACAGGGACGAGCTGCACACCAGCCTCCAGAAGCCTGGCTTTGTGCACTCGCCTCCCTCATGGGCCCTGTCTGCCACCAAAGTGCCCTGAGCGGGGTGTCATATCTGGGCACGATACGCTGGCTTGGACGTGTGGGGAACCTGGCCAGCCCCGGTTAAGACAACAAACCAACCCAGTCACCCAGAAGCCGCGCGGAGGGCGCCCACGCAAAAGCTAGGGGCAGGGCCTGTTCCTCCCACTCCCTGGTGTGGGAGGCTGGGCTCAGGCCACCTGCTGACCCCAGGAGACACACGGACCACTGTGCTGCAAAGGAGACGCCGCCGGAAGGGCGACGCTGGGCGGAGGGCGAGAGGGAGGAAGGACGAGGAAGCCTCAGCCCCCCGTGGCCCCCTGTGCCCGCTGCCCCCGCTCCTGGCCGCGATGCTAAGAACTCGGGGTCTGCTCAGAGTTCTCGGGCACAGCCTCCAGGATGGGAAGCCTCGGAGGGGCATCGAGGCCCGGTTCCAGGGAGGCTCCGCATACAGCCAGCAGCACGCCTGGTCCTGAAATGGGGTGCAGACCTTGTCCCTTCGCCAGCCGGGGCTAACAGGGTGGGCCAGGGGTTCATGCCCAGCCAGGCCCAGAGGCCTCAGTCCCTCCCCCTCCAAGCCGAAGGCCCACCCTCAGGCTGTCAGGCCCTGGCAAGAGATTCTGGCCCGAGGGGTGGTCCGGGCCAGGCTCGCAGCGATAGCGCCCATGGATCAAACCACACGGCCTCTCCCAACACCTCCTCCCTCATCGGCGCCGCTTTGCATAACGCTTTGCACATGACTTGCATAATATCATCCACACATCATCCCAAACCCTCCTGGTCCCATTGCCTACCCTCCATGTCCTCCCCTCGGTACCCTCACCCCCCCTTAAATGTTCTCACCACAACCCCCCACCCCTCCGAGACGACCTCTCTCTCTGGTCCCTCGCCCCTCTGGAGTCCCTGAGTTAGTCTGAATGAACTCCAAGTTCAGCTGGGCTAGCCTGGATCTGTCGGGGGTCCCGGAGACATGATTGAGGAGGGAGCTCCTCACCCCAGTCCCCTCCAGGTGGCCGACCCCTAGTCCCACCCAACCCTGGCCAGCCAGGCCCTAGCTGTGGACGCTTGCTTTATTTCCAAACAGGTTCGGAAATGAAGCCGGGAGCCGGGCTGGAAGCAGGTACGAAGGAGACCATGAGAACGGCCCTGGGCGGAGGGAAGGGACTTCTCGGCTAGTGGGGGAGGGGCCCGAAAAGGGGGTAAGGGAGGCCTGTGCAGGCCGCTAACTTCTCTGCCCTCCCCCGTCCCAAGGGCTTAGCGCAGTCAGAGCAGCAGGGAGAGGGTTCCCAGCCAGCTTGGGTCTAGGGGCCCCAGAGACCTGTCCCCCGCCTGCTGCAGAGCCCACGGCTCCTTCCTCTCCAGGACACTGGCTCTCGCTCCTCCCTGTCCGTTCCATCCATCCCTTCTCTTCAGAAGCCCTGGCTGCTGCCCTCCGGGTCAGCTGCCCCTGTCCTGGCCTCCCTCTGCTCCAGGCTGTCCCTGATGCTCCCGCCTCTCAGCATCCTCACCAGCTTGGCCCCCAGCCCCGCTGTGGCTGATGCGTGCTTGCCGCTGCACCTCCCCGCTCCCTGCCGTCCCCGTGGAAGTGCCTCCCTCCCCAGGCGCCCGGCAGCAAAGGGGTCCTCAGGCTGCCCGGGCTGAGCTGCTGTGTCTCGAGACCCACAGGAGACCATTGCCCCAGCCCCAAGCGGAAGACCAGGAAAGAGAATCAGGACGTAGCCAGCCAGACTCCACAGGGCCAACCAAGCCATGCTGGAGACTTGGGCGTCCTCTGTCCTGGCTCTTCTGCCATGCTGGCCCCTGGCCCATGTCACCGTCTTCAACAAACTCCACGTGGGGCCCCCTTCCCTCTGGGCAGACGTGCCCCATCAGGGCACCAGCCCAGGGCACAGGCCTGCTCCCAGAGGTCCCTGCAGCCCACGCGGAGGCAACCCAGACAGTTGTCAGCCTCCTGTGTTCTCCCCGAGTCCCCTCAGGGTCCACCCAGGTGCTGAGGGGTGGCATTCCCCTCCCCCTCTCATCTCACGTTTATCTGCTCACACCCGTCCGGAGCCCCCTGACACCTTCCTCCCTTGGTGGCTGAGACCCTCATGCCCAATCCACCTCCTTGGGTGAAGAGGGGCTGAGCAGGGACATGTCCCCAGGGAACATGGGAGGGATGCTCTGTTCTCAGGGGAGCAGCCTGCACAGGCGGCCCAGGCCAGAGCTCAGGAGGCCAGGCCAGGAGGGAACACACAGGCAGGATGCCACCCCCGGTCCACTTGTCCCCAGAGGTCCCCCTCTCCTCTGCCCCTACCCTCCTGCCTGAGGGCCACTGTCCGCTAAGATGGCGCTGCTCCCCAGCCGTTGGCGACTCAAGGAAACAGGGACCTGCAGGGCACCGGGTCGGAAGGCACCGTGCATGTGGCCGCCCCGGCTCTCTGGGTTGACAGATGAGACACTGAGGCCCCGAGGTGTTTAGGAACCTTCCACCATCGTGCTCTGACTCGGGTCAGCCGGGCAGGCCCTGAGTTTTCCAAGAAAACTTAGTAGGAATCTGAGGAGACTCCAAATCAAACCCGAATGAGTCGAGTTCAAAAGCTTAGAACCAGTGCGCTTCAGAAGCGGTTTTTCTTTCCCCGTGGAGCTCAGACCCAGGACAGAGTTGTCTGTCTGTCAGAGCAAGCCCAGCGGAGGTCGGGTCCCTTCCTCAGCCCAGACACCTCCATCTTCAATCCCCGGGCGTTTGCCACCCGCCTCCGCTCGGCCCCTCGCCTGTCACCCCGCGGTGGTCTGGGCCGCCGATCGGTGGGTACGAGTGAGTGAGTGTGCAAGTGCTGGGTGGCAAAGGGGTGCGCCAGCACTGCCAACCCAGGGTGCCAGCTCCCTGCGGCAGGGACAGTGTCCCCCCACTGACAGCTCCTCCCCCAGCATCTCCAGAGCCCGGGGTTGGAGGCTTCTTCCTCTCTCTCTCTAAAGGAAACAGCGAGGAGAAGCTAACCCACAGCCCTAGAACAAACGCCTCGCCATCCTCCAGCCAACCACGCTGATGAACGCGGGCGGGTCAGGAGGGGCTCAGTCTTTAAAAGGGACTTTCCTCGCTTTTAAGGTTTTGACCTGCTGCAGTGGCCGCTTCCCGTGTAGTAACAGGAGCAAACGCTGAACGGGGCTGGGTGCAGGCTCTGCTCTGAGGCCCGTACCCGCCTCGCTCAGCCAAAGCCCGTAACGACCCTGAGGTGGCCACTATCGTTAGCCCCATTTTACAGATGCGAGAGGTAAAGTTAGCTGCTCAGAAGAAGTGATGGAGCCTGGACTCAAGCAATGGCAGTCTGGGCTGTCCAGAGCTTGTGGCATCTGGAAGATGCCATGTGACACAGGACGGCGGAGCTGGGTGGGGTGGGAGTGGGGGGTGGGGCAGTCAGAGGAGGCCTGGATTTACCCTGGCTCTGCAGCAGCCATGTGTCCTTGGCCAAGTCACTCAACTCCTCTGGACCTCAGCGTCTCCATCTGTAAAATGGACAGCTTGGCCTTGGCGGGCCCCTGCCCAGCATTCTCTGTTCCATTCCTGATGGACTCTTCGGGGCTCCAGATCATGTGCTCAGCCCCAGGTGCAACCACGGGAGGGCTGGAACTGTCTGGAAGATCACCCTCCCCACACCCACCCTACCCGGCCAGGGCAGGAGTCGGACTGCAGAGAGAGCAGGGGTGGGGCTTGCCCGCTGCAGCGCTGGCCTTCTTGCTGGGAGGGATGCAGGGATGCTCAGAGGGCTGCCTAGAGGGAGAAGCAGCGGGCCTGGCGGTCAAGTGGGTCCCTAGAGAGGTGGCAGTAGGGAGCTGTGACCCTGCTCCGCTGCCTCGGAGACCTGGAAACCTGGGGGCTACAAGCCCGGATGCCCAGCGGGCCCAGGGGAAGCTGCCCAGACTGAACCCTGTCTGGGCGCTGGTCATCCATGTGCACCTGGGAAAGGGAAGGGAAGGAAGGAACAAACCAGGGCAGTGACCCTTTTCAGAGAAAAGCCAGGACTTCTGACTCACCAGCCGCTGCATGATAGAGCGTCCCTGCTCAATGCCAGAGAGCGCTCAACTGTGCCAGCCCCGCCCTCACCGCTGGTGTTCCTCTCCCCAGCCCTCCCTTCTCTGTGTCCGCCTGCCCCGCTCTCCTCCTCTCCCCTCCCCCTGCTCCTCCCTGCCCTCTCCTCCACCCGCCCCACCCAGTGTCCTCCAGCCCAGCCTTTGCAGTCCCGCCTAGAGCTGGCCCCCGCGGGACTCTGCCCGCGCCCGCCCAGGCCCCACCAGGGCGTCTCCCAGGAGGAGCCCACACGGCAGGGCTGCGCCCGAGGGAGCGGGGTGAGTCCTGGGGGCCAGTGGGCTGTCCCCATCCCACATCAGCTGTGCCCACTTCTCTCCCACAGAGTCCGTGCCGATGGCTGTCATCATCGGGGTGGCCGTAGGAGCCGGCGTGGCCTTCCTCGTCCTTATGGCAACCATCGTGGCCTTCTGCTGTGCCCGTTCCCAGAGAAGTACGGGAGGGAGACCCGGGATCTCAGGGAGGGGGACAGAGAAAAAGGCCAGGCTTAGGCTGCCCCGGAGAGCAAGTAAGCAGGAGCGCAACAAACGGGCCCTCAGTGCTGTGAGCGCCTGGGGCAGGGACTGGGTCTGACGCATCGTGCCAGGTGCGGTGCCGCACGTGGCGTCTGGCGGAGTGGGCACTCGGCTGATGTGACCGTGGACCAGACCGAAGTCCGTGCGCAGGGCAGTGAGCCAGCCCTGTGGGTTGAGCACGTGTAGCGCGTCAGTCGGGGATGGTGTCGACGTCCGGGGAGAAAAGAGGCAGTTCGATTCTTGCTCTCCCAGAGCTGCTAGTCTAACCAGAAAGGCAGATCACCCACACGGGAAGAAAAGCATTCGAGGAATTGTTTCAAGCAGATTTTTAAAGGTCTTCAGTCATTAGCAATAAAACTCTCGTGCTTGTGTGCTCTCGAAGGAGTGCACGTACGCGGGGTTTCCATACCGGGCACAGCTCTGGCGTTGCGTGGGCAGACGCGTGCAGAGCTGAGACAGGACGGCGGAGAAGCGAGATGGAGACAGTCTCCCAGTCCCCCCTCTTCTACCGTGTAGCCCTGAGCAAGCCACAGCTATTCCAGGTCTTGCTTCCCTCATTTGTAGTAATCAAAGGGCGGGATGATGTGGCTTTACGACCTCGCCCGGCCCTAACATCTGGGAGCGTAATGCACAAAATGAATCACCAGAATCAGGCTGCTCCCGCCACCCCCTGGCAGCCCTCACGGGTGGACGGAAGCTGTGTGCCCCCTTCCGCTCCACGCCAGCGGCCTTGGCTGCAGGACCTCCCTCACCGCCCTCTCAGAGAGCAGAAATGATAGGGGAGTGTATTTTAGCAAGAATTTTCTAACGGAGCTCTGCAGCTACAAACGGGCCACCTCCTGCAGAAGCAGTAGAGCTGCCATGACTAAGTGTCGACAGAGATGCGGGACCACTGTGCGCCGTGGGAGCTTCTGCTTTGGGTGGGAGGTTGGCCATGGGCGCCCGAAGGTCCTAACGGAGTTTTGTGGCTCTATGAATGGAGAGCTCAGAGCCCGGTAGAGTGGGCCAGAGAAGACTTCTGGAAGGAAGTGGGGATTCCGTAGGATGAAGAGCTCAGGAAGGTGGCCAGGTGGCAGGGGACAGCCTGGCAGGCCAGGGCGAGCAGCTGAGGTGCGCCACAGGGCACGCAGCCCAGAGCATACGCGTCCCGGCGTCCTGTCAGTGGGGGCTGTGAGTTCAGAGGCTGGAGGGTAAACTCCGGGGGGTGGGGCAGAGGTGGGGGCTTGGAGGGAAGCTCGACATCTCGAAGGTAAGAACTGACTCTGTCATGTGCATTTTCCTATTTTATGTCCAGATCTCAAAGGTGTTGTGTCAGCCAAAAATGACATCCGAGTGGAAATTGTCCACAAGGAGCCGGCCTCTGGTCGGGAGGCTGAGGAGCACCCCACCATCAAGCAGCTGATGGTGAGAATGCGGCCCTAGCCCCCACCCCACCCAGCGCCCCATTCACAGAAGCTTTTGGGACTGGGGGCTCCTCAGTGCCCTAGATGCTTCCAAGAAGCAGAGCGTCAGTCAAGAGGCACCCCGCCCTGCTGCCCCCCGGCAGGCCAGGCGCACTCACCCAGCAGCGCCGAGTGCCTGCCGTGTTGCGCGTGGTGTTCTGGGAGACTCACGTCCAAGGTGCAGCCCCGGCCTTCAGAGAACCTGATTATTCATTCAGTAAGGAGAAAAGACACACGCATACATTGCCATGATATGTTGGTGTGCAATGTATAATTCTGCACACACACACACACAAAGATGTTATATTAATAGATATTCAGTACTTGCCCCTCCCACTCCCCATCCAAAAAAAAAGCTGGCAAGAGGCGTAGGCTCCTCCTTGGGAACTGGGTTACTCCCCAGAAGCAAACTCGTAACTTCTCCAGCACCTCTTCCCGATCCCCACGTGTGGGCCGTGATCCACCCATCTGTCCCAGCAGAAACCCAGACGACTGTGCTGGAAGCTTTTGGTGCACGCCGCGCCACGGCTGCCACGTGCTGGGCAGGGGTAAAGGGCACGGGCCTCTCTGTGCCTCAGTGTCCCCCTCCATGAAATGAAAGTAGCGCACACAGGGCCATGGTGAGGGTCAAATGGGTAAACCCTAAAGAGCCTGGAGCCCGGGGAACACAGTCGGTGCTCAATAAACGTCAGCCACCCGCGCTGCTGGATGGTGAGCAGCCGCTGCCGGGCTCGTCCCCGGGTCTGCAGGGCCTTGCCCAGTCCCTGGCAGAAGCTCCCAGATGTTTACTGAATCGAACTGACGTTTCCCTCTGCTTCTCCATCCGGTCGATTTTCGGGTTCTGTCAACTCCACTTCCTGTGCCCCGCCCTCCCCACTGCCACCGCCTCACACGGGCCCTTCCCTCCCTGGGCCGTGACAGCGGCCTCCTCGTGGATCTCAACAGTCCAGTCTTCCGCCACTCTTCTCAATCCACCCTCCAGGGCCCTGAAGAAGGGTCCTCTAAAATGCAAATCTGATCCTCTTACTATCCCGCTTAAAATCCATTGGTGGCTCCGTGTCGGGTGGACAAAGTCCTGCCGCCCAGCGAGTCACCCACGCCCTCGCTGCGAGGCGGCTGCCAACCTTTCCGGCTCTGCCTCCCAGCCGGGCACATCTGCTCTCCAGACACACCACGGAGCGTGTGACTCGTGGCCTTCGAGTCTCGCTACCTCGAAGGCCTGTGCCAGGCTGTTCCCTCGGCCTGTTGATTTTGTCTGTTGCATTTCACGTTCTCCTGTGAGAAGCAACTCAGATGTCAACTCCATAATTTTCTGTGCTTGTCCCTGTCCTGCAAGCAGAGCTGTGCACTCTCTGCTCTCCCGAAGCGCTCTGCATGCGCCTCTTTTACAGCGCACTCCCCTAATTACATGCCAGCCTCCCAGATGATCCCAGAACCCCTCAAGGGCAAAGGTCACGTTCCTGAGTCTGTGACATAGTGCCTGGTGCAGAAGAGTGTCTAGGTTTACAAGGGAGGAAGCCGCAGCCTAGACCTGGGAAGGGATGAATGTCTCTGCACGTAAACTTCATCAGCTCTGTCCTTCATCCCAAATAGGACCCCGAATTCCCTCCCATCCCGTTTGCCTCCGAGCGTCTCCACGCCACCCAACCCAAACCCTCAGGAACGGGTGGGGCGCTCAGCGGCCAGGTGAGAGCAGGGGCCAACTCGGCAGAAGGGACTTGTTCCCGCTCTGTGGCTAGGCCTCCCTCGGGGAGATCTTCACTCCCCGACTCCGTCACCCCCAGCCCTGAGATGGCCCCTTCACCAAGGGGAGGCAGCTTAGGGGCTGAATTTGGTGGGAAAGAAGGACTCCAACCCAGAGAGAGCCCAGAGCATTTACTGGCAAATGAAACGCTTTGGCGGATTCGCTGGAGCTCCAAAAAGAGATGAGGAACACAAGTTGCAAGGGAGAAACCACCACCCAGCCCAGCGAGCGGGGACCTGGGCCAGCCCGCACGACTGCAGCTGCGGTGCATGGCGCAGGCTGAGCATCGCTGTGGCCACTCTGAGTAGCCGGTGCGCCCGCGGTGTGTGGGGGTGCGCTTTGTTCCTCTATGCCCTGTGACTATCTTAACGTTCGGTAACTGAGAGCTGAGCCACTGACCCGCTCACTCCACGTAAACATAACGTTTAGAACAGCCCTGCTGTGTACCAGGCCCTGTGCTAGACATGGGTGAATCAAAGAGTAAGAGATTCTATTCCCAAAGCATTTCGGTCAGTGACCACAGCTGCGGCGACTGGACTAGGTGTGGAGACCCGAGAGGAGGAAGTGGTCCATGCCCTCAGGCTGTTTGGCGTCCAGCAAGGAAGCTAACAACTTCCCGGGGCATCCCCGTCACTGCTGTGAATAGCAGGTGTGGCCCATGCCGCCGGCACGTCACATGTGGCCACCCCTCGTGATTCCTTCTCAAGGCCTCCATCAGGCCCGGCGCTGGCTGATGGGCCGCCCGAAGGAGCCAACTGGTGCCCGGGGGTTGATGCCCTGTAGTCACTTACCCACAAGTGCGTCTCCCTGAGGAGCAGAGCTGCATCTTAGCGTGTCTTCATCTGTGTGCCCCTGGCCCCAGCACCGCGCCTGGCCGGGACTTACAATAGATGCCCAATGAATTGAATTGAATGTGAGATTTCTCAAGGTAATGCCCTGGCCCAGGTGAAGAAAGTGTGGCCCCAGAGACCTGCCCACGCCCCATCCACCCGCCCCCCCGTGCCTGCCTGTCTCTTAGGATGGGGGTCCAGGCGCTGACCCTGACTCTGTCCCTTTCCTTCTGTGGCCCAGGCAGTGAGGGCAGGGGGACATATGGCAATCTTTTGAGTTTATTTCCCCATCTTTTCCTCGGGGGAAGTGGAGGTTAGGCCACCTCCTCTTCACTGAGCAGCCGTTTTGCGTTGTAGATGGACCGGGGTGAATTCCAGCAAGACTCAGTACTGAAGCAGCTGGAGGTCCTCAAAGAAGAAGAAAAAGAGTTTCAGAACCTGAAGGTAAGATGAGCCACAGGTTACAAGACACAGCCACGGGATGTGTCTGCAGCTCTGATGGGCCAATCCCCAAATCCACGAAAGAACGGCAGCAAGCAGGAGAAGAGAAGGGCCAGAGGCAGCCTGGGGACACGCGCCTACCCACCCCTGAGGTGGGACACTCTGTGCCCGAAGCACCTGCTTGTTCTGCCCCAGCACTGAGAGCGCTAAGGCTGGGTCCCCACGATTCTCCCCCACAGCCTCCTCACACCTAGATTCCAAAATTATGCCTCCCTGCCCTGGATAAAAACAAAAAGCAATCAAAATCTGATTTTCAAATGATTTTTTTTTTTTTCTGAGATGGAGTCTCGCTTTGTTGCCCTGGCTAGAGTGAGTGCCGTGGCGTCAGCCTAGCTCACAGCAACCTCACACTCCTGGGCTCAAGCGATCCTCCTGTCTCAGCCTCCAGAGTAGCTAGGACTACAGGCATGCGCCACCATGCCCGGCTAATTATTTATATATATATATATATATTTTTAGTTGTCCAGATAATTTCTTTCTATTTTTTTTAGTAGAGACGGGGTCTCGCTCTTGCTCAGGCTGGTCTCGAACTCCTGAGCTCAGATGATCCACCCGCCTCC